TCACTTATTCATTCATTCGTTTATTTATTTGTTCATTCATTCTTTCAGGAACAAATGAACAATGAAACTTATGAAAAGATGTATCAATTTTTTGTTAGTTTCGTTATTCTAAAGTCATTATTGCTATGATCGTTATTATTGTTAGTTTCCGCCAACATACGCAGTTGCCAGCCTAGGCAGTCTGACTTACGCAGTTGCCAGCCTAGGCAGTCTGACTTACGCAGTTGCCAGCCTAGGCAGTCTGACTTACGCAGTTGCCAGCGTAGGCAGTCTGACTTACGCAGTTGCCAGCCTAGGCAGTCTCACTTACGCAGTTGCCAGCCTAGGCAGTCTCACTTACGCAGTTGCCAGCCTAGGCAGTCTGACTTACGCAGTTGCCAGCCTAGGCAGTCTGACTTACGCAGTTGCCAGCCTAGGCAGTCTCACTTACGCAGTTGCCAGCCTAGGCAGTCACTTACGCAGTTGCCAGACCACTCCATCTAAGAGGCTTGCAAAACAGTCCAACACACGTACACTAATAAAACTTATATCCAATTAACTAATTATTTACTTATAAGGACATTTAAATAGATGAAATGTATGCAGTAGAGATAGTTGATGCTTGGGAATAGATAGTTATGGCACTGACGATTGCAATTAGTTGCGAAGTTTCTGCTGCTGTAGGGAGAGTGTATGCATAAGAATGCGAGAACCATTCATTCCTTCGGGTTTTATTTTTTTTTGACTTATCAACAGATAGATGTTTCACGATACTTTTACTTCACAAATATTTTGGTGAGTTTTATCATCTTCATTCTTTCATTATTATTATCTTCATCATTATTATAATTTTTATTTATAATAATAATAATAATAAAAATAACAAACATCCTAACTGAAAAGACAAATGATGTCCTGATGGGATTTTTCAAGGTTTGTGAATGAATGAATGAATGAATAAATGAATAAATGAATACATAGATAGATGAATGAATGAATGAGTGAATGAATGAAAAAATGGAAGAAATAATGAATGAACGAAGAATGACAATAAATAAAGAAATATATAAAAAATTTCAATAATTTTTTTCTTTTAGCACTACTGGGAAGAGGTTTTTGTGTAAAATAGTAATAATAATAATTATAATCAGCATCATCGTCATCATTGTCATCATCACCATCATCATCATCATCATTATCGTAATTTTCTTATCATCTAATGTTTCAAAAAAAACTTTGAATTGAATTTGAGACAACCCCAACACCGATATATTTTTTTATAAACCTTGTTCACTTTTAAACGTTCAATCATCATTATTATCACGATTGTTTTTCTTATCATCATCACCACTATCATCATCGTCATCATCACCATCATCATCATCATCCAACCAGGCAAGCAATGTCGGAAACACGTATGGCGCCTTTTTAGAATACCCGGTATTTCTTCTGTATTATCAACTACTGCTACTACTACTACTACTACTACTATTACTACTACACCTACTACTAATACTGCTGCTGCTACTACTACTACTACTGCTACTACTACTACTACTACTGCTACTACTACACCTACTACTACTACTGCTGCTACTGCTACTACTACTACTACTACCACTACTACTACTACTACTACTACCACTACTACTACTACTACTACTACTACTACTACTACTACTACTACTATTACTACTACACCTACTACTAATATTGCTGCTGCTACTACTACTACTACTGCTACTACTACACCTACTACTACTACTACTGCTGCTGCTACTGCTGCTGCTACTAATAATGCTAATAATAATAAGAAGAAGAAAAAGAAGAAGAATTTTATTGCTAGGATGAACCTTTTTACTTTTGTAAATAAAACTGTTCAAAAAAAAGAATAAAATGATTGAATTATAAACGGTTAAACTAATTTTTGTTAAGTCATTCGAACTGTTCCGTTTTCCAGTAAGATGATGATGATGGTGATGATGATGATGATGATGATGATGAGGGAGGGAGGGGTCTATTTTGTTGTAGGGGTGGTCAAAATTCAGAATTTAGTTGATGTTGACGTTTAAATTTGGCCGTTGGTAATATATTTGTGGTTATCTCTGTGTGTATCCCTTTGTTCCTGCCTGTGAGTCTTCCTGTAGTTCGTCAAAAGTCGATCCGAGTCACTCGTCACAAAGGTGAAAATAATCGTTCCAATTTCCCAAGTCTGACAACCGCAATGATAAAAAGAAGAATCATACGCGCAAATATATCCAGATGCCACGCGTAGATACAGCTCGCAGATACAACTCGGACATACAACTCGGAGATACAACACGCAGATACAACTCGCAGATACAACTCGCAGACGCAACACCCAGACAAACACCGATACACTCTAGTACTATTGCAAGCAAATTAAAAAATATACAATCAAAATAAGAGCTAACTTGATCATCATCTTCACAAACAGATTTTGAGTGTCTTCGGTTTCGAAGAAATGGATGTTATTAACTACTTTTTGGTGGGTCATTTCATTTAGATTTTTTATTCATTTCTCCTTGCATTCTTATATTTATTCATTAATTCACTGATACATTCATTCACTCATCCATTCACTAATTCATTTGTTTATTCATTTTTTTCTTTTTAATTCAATCATTAACCAGCACGAGCAAAAATCTTCGTATTCATTACCAGAATCGATAGTGAGATTATTCTTTTATTCATTAATTTATTCATTCATTTGTTCATCAATTTGTTCATTTATTTGTTCGTTTGCTTATTCGTTCGTTCGTTCGTTCAAACAATTAATTAATTTATAAAGCGCTATTTCTGCAATGTTCAACAGCGCTCGTCAGTGAATTTTGCAAACAAAATCGTCTTGGGACTGAACTTCGTAAGTGATGGAGAAGTCGTCAGGGAAGGAGGTAGGGAGTTCCAGAAAAAAGGGCCAGAAAAAGCAAAAGCAGATTTAGCAAAAGTGTGTTTAACACGAGCTATGAAGAAGTGAGAACAAGAAGACGATCGTAAACCGGGGCGTCTAGGTTTAATTAATATATCTGAATAGCGAGATTTGAGAAAAGAAAGGGGCACGAGCAACTATTACGAGCAGCAGATAAAGCCTAGACTACGAAACTTGTGAGAGACATCAAGATATTTAGAATCATGTAAGATAACTGGAGGAATAGTAATAGAGCGTTTAGATACATTCATTCATTCATTCGTTCATTCATTTGTTCATTCATTCATTCATTTCTTCATCATTCATTCGTTCATTCATTTGTTCATTCATTCATTCATTTCTTCATCATTCATTCGTTCATTCATTTGTTCATTCATTCATTCATTTCTTCATCATTCATTCGTTCATTCATTTGTTCATTCATTCTTTCATTTCTTCATCATTCATTTTTCCAAGGACCTAGTAGACGAAGAAACCTACCAAAAGATGTCTCAGTTTTTTGTCAGTGAAGTCATTTGAAAATTATTTTTATTTTTCTTATCCTTATTATTATTATTAATATTATTATAGTTGCATCACTAACAACAACAACTTTTTCTATTTTAACTCTATTTTATTTAATCTCCATATACTACTTAATATCATATAATTTCGTGTATTGCTAAACTAATTTAACTAAATTTTTATGTTAACATTCATTAATTATTCTTTGGAAATTTGGATTTTACGATGAAATAAAAGGCTGTTCACATTATTATTATGAAACTAATCTAATCTAAAGAATATAAAGATTGTTCTATAATAATTAATACATTTGAATTGTCACCAATTGGTTTATGTAATAATTTTAATTTATCGATATTTAAATTTACATGGTCAATACTGTTTAACTTTAAATTAATAAACAGTGTTATTAGCTCGTCATATGGGATTTATTGTGACAGAAACATTGCCTAATGCTATTTTAAATATAACCTACACCCATGCACTTGTCATTTGGCAATGAGGATGGGTGGATCGTACATTTGATTATTTTTATTCTATTGATTATTTTTATTCTATTCAGTTTAACATTTTAGTTACAATTTATTATCTTAATATCTTATAGTTTCATTGCGTCGATTGGATAAATAAAATATGTTCACATTATAATTATTATTATTATTATTATTATAATCATTATTATTATTACGTCATTAACAGGAGGAAGTGGTGTCTTATTATCGTTCAAAAAATGTCTTGGTAAGGAATTATTATTATTATTATTATTATTATTATTATCATTATTGCTCTTACTATTCTTATTAATATTTTTTATTATCCATAATAAAAACCCCTATTATTAAACTTCAAAATAAAAAAAAAACCAACAACTTTTATAAATTTCATTAAATGCAAATAAATAAATTTGATATTTAAATAAATAAATTTGATATTTAAAGAATTTAAGAATGACACAAAAAATTTTCTGCCATCACCATAGCAAAGAATATCATCATAGTAGACAGTATCATAATTTATATCATTATAGTATCATTATTTATATCATTATAGTATCATCATTTGTATCATCATAGAAGACAGTCGAAACACTGTTCGGGTTCATTCATGTCTGTAAAGTTGAAATTGAAATCTCCAACAGCGTTTGTTTCTTGTGAGGGTTTTACTGAAACTCGAATATCTTCAAATCGTTTTAAGAAATATTTTTGGTTTGACAAAGGAGAGGGAGTGGTGCGTACAACTACGTTGGTTGCTTTGCAGGTTGAGAATTGTTTTAACCCAAGTTGAATGCAAAGCATGTCAATAGAATCATCTTTAAACAGTTTATCAGAGATGTCATAGATTAGGCCAGATTATCTTTAATAAAACTGCCTATGACACAATTTATCTGATATAAATTTATTTATAAAATATAAAAATTAAATTCTATAAAGATGAATTAAATTCTATAATTCTATAAATACTATAAATAAATTCTATAAACCGATCCTTGTTAAAAAGTTCTGGTGTAAAACGTAATAGGCGCAGCTATTGAAACCGAATTTGAATTTTAAAATTCCTACAAAACGCAATAGCAACTACAAACACAAACTTCTCAGCTAATAGTAATAATCCTTAATTACATGATGATAATAATAATGGAAACAGATCTTTTATTTTTCATCAAATGAGTAAAATCAATAGTTAATTAATTAGTTAGTTAGTTAATTAATTAATTAATTAATAGAGAAATAGTCATGATTAAAATAAAATTAAAATATAATCATAATCACCATAATTAGTCATCACTGTTCTTCATTTAAAATCAAATTAAGCACAGCGATGATAAGATAGTTATGAAGATTGGGATTCAGGCATTGTCCCGATCAGAATATATGGCATATGATGGTGATGATGGTATCACTCTGCTAATTAAACTTTGGCGAAAATATTCGGTCCAATCAATTTTAATTAAAGACAAATTGAAAGAACTGTAAAAGCCTATGGACGATAATCCAAAAGAA